TGTCTGAGTGTGAGTGAGATATTGAGCCAAGGTAAAGTATTTGAATATTGAAGGGTAAAGGGTAAAAGTCAAGGTCACAATCAATAAAAATATCAGAAATTTGTCAAACTTGGTCACAATGTTCCTTTACCAAAGATCTGGAAGTGACTAAATTTTGAAGGGTCAGGGTCAAAGGTCAAGGACAACATACTTAAGTATAACCATGGTATAACTGTTTGCCGTATGGACGTATGTGTGGGCTTGCTGCTAAAGTGTAAACAAAGATATGACCATCAAAGTGATATATGTGAAAACAGTTTGGTGTAGTAGTTAGAAGAGTGTTTTTCACACTACTAGCCTGGGTTCAAATCCCAAGGAGTCTACTTGTTTAGTGAATACTGCTAAAATACTTCCAATGAGTATGTTTATAACTGCCTAACATCATGAAAGTCCACAGAAAAATTCAGCTGATTGGTCACTTGATGAAGTGACCAATCAGATTTGTGCAAAATTCGACACTAACATTAATTGGTTGGTGGGTGGCCTATCACAGTATGGTTAGGCTGTTGGTAACATTTTGTTGTCAACATAAATCATTGTTGTTAGGTGAATAGGTGAGGAATAAGTTTAGGGGACTAACAGCCCCGCTCCCCCCCCCCCCATGAAGTTTCCATAAGGCTACCAATGTATTAGCGGTTCCAGAAATTTTTCATAGAGTTTGAATAGACTTTATATACATAATTTTTTATAGATATAATTTTCAAAATAATTTGTAATATTTCATTTACAGATAAACATTTCCATAGCGTTCGTATACATTTTATCTATAGAGAAACAATTTTACAGATTATAAACGTTTCCATAGAGTTTTATAATACATAAACAAAATACAGGTAAAGACTATAATTTTTTTATAGAATAAATATAGTAATTTTATAGTTTTATTATAGAGAACTTGTCATATCATTTGTATAGAATATTCTATAGAATTTGTATAGAATATTCTATAGAATTTCTATAGAATATGCAAGATGTAAAACATGTTGGTAGGACTATACTGGTCAGAAACAAATGTGTCAATAAAATATTGAATGAAACAAAAACAAATTAAAATCATAGAAATAACATTGAATATGTGTACTGTATATAGAATGTTATATAATTCTTTAGAAACTAGTTCCTCTATAAAACAATTTTATAGAATATACTAATTTCTGTAGAAATTGATTAGTTTCTATAGAAGGTCTATAAAGTTCTATAGAATTTCTTTGTATGGGCAGTATGCGGGGAAAATTTATACTGAGGAGACTTATGATGTGGGCGGAGGTATGCACTGTCCAAGTGCCCTCTAGTTGTGCCTATTTGTGTTATCTTATACTTCAAAGTACCATTAATTTTGTTTTCCAATTTCACTGTCAATGACGTCACTTAATTTAATAACGACGACTGGGCTATACTAGGCCTAGGTACTGGGTGTAGGCAGGCGCGGATCCAGACCTTTGCCCAGTTCGCCCAGGCGAAGTTCAGGGTGAGAAATACAAATAAAACGTTGACCATTTTTCCAACAATCATACTTACTTTCCTTGAAACTTATATTGAACATGTCCATTAGGGCATTGTTTAAATCCACTCTAGCTTATACCTTACACTTTTACACTGATTTTACTGTATATAGGCAATACCAGAGAGATACATTCCCATTACAGTATATGGTCTTCCACTTCTATAGCGTATATAGTAGGCCTACAGTGTATATTCGGAATCGCTCAGCTGCAGTCGTACATGTGTCTATGTTGGCATTGACACTGTGTGCTTTTAGCATTGTTTTAAAGTAATAGCCTATCAGACATTTACATGAACAACAATATATTTGCCTATCATTGTTTTCAGTAACAGTGGCGTATTTAAGGAAGGGGGTGCTGATGAAATGAGAGTCCATACACACGTCAGCGCCATCGTGGTTGAAGGTGAAGCAAAAAATTAAGTATTTTATACCTCTGGATGCGTGGAAATGGAACATAAATTACCTTTTAATTCTTTTTAGTTTTGACGAATTGAGTAAAAAAAACCATTTAAATAAATAGGTACCCGAAAATGAAACTCAAATACTTACAATTTTAAAAACTACCGTATTCAACTGAGCCCCACCATGGTTGGGTCTCAGGTGAGAACGTTTTGAGAATTGAGACCCGTTAGATGCCCAAAAATAGCACTTGAATAATACAACATTTACGATATCTATACCTAAGCCCCACCATTATTTTGGGGCGCAGAAAAATTTGAGACTAGTATAAATGCCCGAAAACGGCACTTGGATACTTAAAATTTATGAAAACTACCAATCCATCCACCTCAGCCCACCATGGTTGAAGCTGAGGTGAAACAAATGTAAGAATTGAAGACTTTTAAATGCCGAAAAATGGAACTTTAATACATAAAACTAGAAAAATTACTATATCCACGTACTTGAGCCCCATCATGGTTGAGACTGAGGTGAGAAAATGTTAAGAATTGTGGAATGGCACTTTAATATTTAACATTTATGTCGGTTAACCTTTAAAAAAGGGCACTTTATTTTGTTTTCAACTTCTAAAGGATGAGATGCTCAGGCACTATGAGCACCCTGGATACGCCACTGCAGCAATCTCTTCCTTGTCTCTCACTCCTTATTGGGCGTTTAATGATGAGCAAAGTTATAACATTTTTATGACTTTTCTCCACAAATCTCGGTATTCCATAAGTTGTGGAAATTACTGCCGCTGTGTGTTGGTGCACCCCATTATTGTACTGTAACAATAACTTCATTTCTCCTTCTGTAGCAATGTCCAGCAAATGCTAACCTTCGTGCCCTCAAAGTTCTTGATACAGGGGGAATACCTCCATACAGTATTTGTAATATGTTGTTTATAATCTTGTAGAACAGCCATCAAGTCCTCCCTCTCAAGAATCTGTTTGATTTCCTTATTTTATAGAAATTCCGTAAAAGCAATATTTGTTGTAAAACCCTAAGTCACCTGAGCTATAGAGGTTTCTCGGGCGGATTTAGAGGGTGCAGACGGTGAAATCGCACCCCTAAATTGTATGAAGAAAAGTAATTGTTGCATTGTATTGTTGGTATCAATTAATTATTGGTAAGATTTTTAAACTATGAGAATGCAATTACTAGAGGTCCATCTAAATCTTCTCACATAAGTCCCAACCGTCAGGGGTGGATTCATCGGGGGGCATGTCAGTCCAGCCGAAAAATAAAAAAGAGAGAAAAAATTGAGATAAAGAGGAAAGAGGAAAAAAGGAAGTGCACCTATGAGTTCAATGGTGGATCCAGCAGTGGGCAGAAGGAGAGCTCGATTATTTTACCACTTACTTTGAATTTTCTATTGACTAGGAACAGAACGCTATATACCTGATGCCGATTTTTTTTCCAACGATTTCGTAGATCAAAATGTAAGAAAGGGCCAAAATACTTAGACCTAAGACGGGTTTTTAGCCATTAGTAGGGAACGTAGTACTATAGAACAATATCAATGATTGAAAATATCTTTTCAAATTTGTGTTTTTTCCTATTTCTCTTCTTATTCGGCCTAAATCTTTAATAATATAATCCATGTGAACCAAGTAGCGCTACACCTCTCACAAATCCTACTCTCGGACTGTGGGTTCAGGTTTTGAGCTTGTGACTCCCAGCATAAAAATAGACTTATACTATCATAAATATATGAAGTATGTCCACTTTTTGACAATAAAGCCACAGCAAAAGGAAGCATGGGACAAGCTGTGGCATTGTGTGTATGACTAGCCAATACACAGAATGCAGTATTCTGACTGTGTGAAGGGAAGATCTTTTTTAAGCCATTGATTTAACCACAGCTGAATGATTCCGTAAAGTATCATACAGTTTTTAGATTCATCATTCCAATTTTCCTGCCTTTTTAATTTATAAAGTTAACGTAATATTTGCCAGTTTCTTTGTTAATTTTTTCCTTGTAACTTTAGGATATTTTATGATATTTTCCTTTTTGTTCGTATAAAGTACATAAAGGCAATTTTATTGTATTATGCGATATATATGCCTATTGATTAACACAGGTTAAGGATTAGGTTTTCATTGACTTTTGAAGAATATAAAAATAAAAATCACAAATATTTTGTGCGCTAATACATTCTTTTTCGAAAGATTATGAAAAACGCAGACGCCTTCGAAATATTCCTAGAATTGTTTTTTGAGAATCAGCGATTCAAATATTCAATACATTTTGTCAGACAGGAATACACTGCTTCATATTTTACAATTAGTTAACGCTATCAAAGTTTTGGCCACAGAAGGAGCGCTTACGAAGGTATGGCCACAGAAGGAGCGCTTACGACGCGGCCCATGTCAGGTTATAAAATCGATCACTAACGTGTCGTCTATAGAGTAGCTAACATAATAAATAAGTATCTCCACTTACCGTGGTAGGTAACAAACTGGTCCTACGGACACTTAGGAATGAGAAATATATAACTTGTCTATCTTAGTGTACGTCGACTATCAAAGTGCCCATATCGGCGGTATTTGAAGTTAGTACGCACTAGTGTTCTACGCTACACGCCGATGACAATTAGGCCTGGTTCTCACGAGAGCCCTAGTATCCGGATCGGGAGCTAACCGTTAGCGCCTGCGTGAGAACGCCTGATCGGTTAGCGCTAACCGTTAGTAATTGCTAACGGTTAGCAAGTTGACCTCATTTCCATCATTAACCAATCAGACGTGCGCAATTCCAATGAGGTCAGGGGTTATATTTTTACATAATTCTTTTCGCACACGTTTGTTTACTTTTATTTCGATCATCACATGCCGTCTGCTCTGTTTTAGTTTTCCCGCACAGGGCTTTTGTTTTTCACTGATATACGGTGATACAGTATTTTAACAATTATCTGTTATAATGGCCAATAATCGACATGTTTGGTCGGACTCTGAGTTGTCTGACCTAATTGACATTTGGTCTGAACCAGAATTTTTAGATCTTGCCGAAGACAAAAAAAGGAGGAAAAAAATCGAGTTTTTGAGCTTATAGCTAAACGTTTAAACGGTCTGGGATATGATATACGACGGCACAGCACGTTTGTAGCAAATTAAAAAACCTTAAGTAGATCGATGTATAAAGAGTGTAGAGAAGAGGAGGCCACAAAATCTGGAGAATGGACTCCGACCTGGAAATTTTATTGGAGGGTTCACAAGAACTTGGGTGGACGTCCAATGGTGGATCCCATAGAAGGCACTCTCGGTGAATCCTATTACCTCCTTCTAGGGCTAGGCCTAGGCCTAGACAGCCGGAAACGTCCAGCCTTGATAACTTTTATAGCAGTGAGACTGAGAACACAACTGCTGAAGCTTTTGCAATTCTTCAACAACAATCCTTGGCTAAAATATCAGGTAGGCTGCCCCTAAGGCTTAGCCCAGGCCCCCTAGCTAGTACCATGCTTCTACAAACAAGGCCTAGGTAGGGTGCTTAGGGCCGCATATGTCATTTGTTTTTGTTACCAGCTCTTAACAGAATTTATTGTACAATAAATTATTTAAAATTAGAGTTAGGCTAAGTAAGGCTACCATAATATCTTGATTACCTGTCCTTGTCCTCCTAGAGTAATTTTCAAAATTCATCATTTATTTATACCTTTAGAAGAAATAATATGAAGCTGAAGTCAGATTGATCAAATCATTATAATGAATTTGTGAATATGTAATAATAACTAAAATAAAATCCTTTTCTTTTTCAATTAGGACCCATATGTGTGGTGTGCACGAAGGAATGTGCTTCACACAAGTGTTTTAAATGCAGAAGGCCTGTCCCTATTATACCACCATGCTTAGGTGAAGGTCCAAGTGTTATAGAAGAAGGTTATGATGTAGACGTGAGGTGTGCAATATGTTTCGATGGTATGAAATAACCTTCATTACTGTATAAATGGAACTCCAAATGGCACTCTAACCCTAATAATAAATATACTTAGATGGCTTTCTGGTTAAAACGCAATAAACCAAAACGGCAATAAGTCCAAAGGGCAATGACCTAAACGGCAAAGAAACCAAAACTGTAACACATTTTCAGCAGAATGACATGGACCAAAACGGCAATAAGTCGAAACGGCAATAAACCAAATAAATAAATAAATCTTAAAAATACACACAAAATGAGGCTACAGCAGTTTATGTCATAGAAGTAAAGATGCGAAAAACTATAATAATAATAATAATAATAATAATAATAATAATAATAATAATAATAAAAGTAATAACAGGCCTACAATAACAATATAACAACATATAAATTCAATAATAAAGGATCAGGGGAAACAACCAAATAAAAAAGTTGCAAATACAAAGTTGTGGTAATCCATCTGACATTTAAATTCGCCATTTATTTAGTTATTTTTTAATAAAACATTTCATTCAAAGAAATAAATTAAAGTGAGATACAGTGTTGTCAGTTATTAGGTTTACTGAATTCATTTTTGATCAGTCTTTTTTTTTGTATAATATCGCTAAAATCCCTGATGTTTAATGACATTATAAAAATTCAATTACAACAAATTATTATGTACTCTACACCACTATTTGCCTTTTTCTCAGGTGCTTTGTCCGATACATCAACGCCTAGTAAACGGAGGCTGGAAAGTGGTAAGTTATTTAAAAATACAAAACTTAATAGGATTTCATGATTGAATTAAACCTTATTTTTTTGGTGAATTTACACTGTTCACATGATGAATTTACTGTCCAATTTAAAAAAAACAAAAACAAATGAATACAGAAAAATACAAATTTTATTATTACTGTACAGGAAATTTGATAGTATTAGTGCAGCTAAAAAGGTAGGTGGGATAATTCTACTTACGTTGTGTACTCATTGTCCCATTTTATTTTAAAATTTTTTAAAGATGAAAGCTACAATGACTCGAAGCTTTAAGACCCGAAGCAGACATCATTAATATAGCCGATAAAGGTACTGTTTCAGATGCAGAACAAACTCCTATCAAAAGATGTGAGTGCTGTGTTTTATTCATGATGGGTATAACTTCTTTCTCGATATTACATACCTATGTTGTAGCTGTAGAAAATTAAGGGTGGTTGAGATAAGACATTTTAAGGATGGGTGGGTGATAACATTAGTAAACGGGTGGAAAAGGGTGCAGGTCAACTCGGCCACAAGTCAACTCGGCCACAGTCAACTCGGCCACAAGTCAACTCGGCCACAAGTCAACTCGGCCACAAGTCAACTCGGCCACAA